AGTTTCAGAACAGCTAGTGCTACATAGGGAGAGTCTGTCTCTCCCAAAAGCAAAAGAAGCAAAAATCTTGATAGAATTTGATGGTGAATCTACCTGGTTCTGAGATTTTCCTTGTTAAGAGACATCATTGTGATATCATTGTGTGTGTGTGTGTGTGTGTGTGTGTGTGTGTGTGTGTGTGTGTGTGTGTGTGTGGATATAATTTTGGTGGTCATATATATCTAAGAATTTACCATGTCTTCTGGATCTTCCAGTTTTGTTTTTTGTTTTTTAAATGAGTTTTCTAAGTCCTTCCTAATAAATCTTTGTATTTTATTGGAAACAAAAATGTAGACTTCCCTTTTCATCTCTGATTTTATTAATTTGGCTCTTCTTCTTTTAGCTATTCAACTAAAAGTTTGTCCATCTTATTTATGTTTTCAAAGAGCCAACTCTTTGATTGACTCTATGTATAGTTCTCGGGCTGGAAGGATGGCTCAGCTCTTAAAGGGTAGACTCACAACCAAACATATATTCTTGTTTTTGTCTCCATCTCATTAAGTTCTGCCTTGATCTTTATTATTACTTGCCATCCAGTGCTTTCGAGTTTGAATTGTTCTTGTGTTTTGTTTTGTTTTATTTATTTTTGGTTTTTCTAGACAAGATTTCTCTGTGTAGTCCTAGAAGTTTACTCTGTACCCCAGACTGGCCTCGAACTCAGAGATCCACCTGCCCCTGCCTCCAAAGTGCAAAAGGCACGCACTACCACCATCCAGCTAGGTTGTTCATTTTATTTAGTACCTTGAGGTACTTTGTTGGGCTATCACTTGAGATCTTTCTGACTTATAAAGCACTCACAGGTACAAATGTTCCTCTTACCTTGAAGCTGTGCTTTCGTTTTCATTTGATTCTAGGAACTTTTAAATTTCCTCTCTAACTTCGTGAATGACTCAGTGGTAATTCAAGAGTTCGTTCTTCAGTCTCCATGCATCTGTATAGTTTCTGTAGATTTTCTTTCCGTGTTTTGATTTATTGTTTCATTGCACTAGGAGCTGAACAAGTAAAAGAGGTGATATTGATTCCTTTGTATTTGCTTAGACTTGATTTGTAGCCTAGAATGTGGTCTGTTTTAGAGATGGTTTGGGGGCTGCTGAAAAGAACATGTATTCTGTTTCAATTGGATGGAATATTCAGTAAATACTGGCTCAATCCGATGATCTATGATGTACTTTAACTCTGAGATTTCTTTATTGATTTTTAGCTTAGTTGGTATATCTATTGGCTGATTGAAATCACCTACTATTATTGTTTCACAAATCAAACCATGAGTCTGTTTTATGAATTTGGGAGTGCCAGAGTTTGCTGCATATTCATTTACAGCTGTTAGTTCTTGGTGAATTTATCCTTTCTCTCTTCTGACTAACTTTGTGTAGAAGTTGGCTCTTTCATCAGAATAACTACTCAGATGATTTTTAATAGATTCTTTTATCTTTACCAATAATGTACGATTCTTAGAGACAACATAAAGTAGGATCTTGTTTCTTGATCCAGTCAACTCTGCCTCCTTATTGTTGAATTATGGCCATTTTCATTTAAGGTTACAATTCACGGGTACTTATTAATTTCTGTAGTTTCATTGATTGTTTTTCTGGCGGCTTGAATTATTGTTTGTTCTTTATTTTTTCCCCTTAATATTAGTATCAGGGATTTGAAAACAGATTAATTTCACTGTACTTATGTAAATTATGTTTCTATGTCCAAGCACTATATTCCTTGTAAGGGGAAAAAATGAGAATAATTTTCCTTGGTTTGGGTGGGATTTTCTCTGTAATCCTCACTTTCCTCAAAGATAATGTGCTGGTACTTAATAAAGTTCAGATATCCTTTTTCAGTATGTAATTCATTTGAAGAAACTCAGAATTTCTATTTTCTACTCATTTATTTCAAATATAAACTCTAACCACCTTAGCTAGGTGATTTGTAACCAAAAATGTAATTGTTGTCAAAATACTTTCACTATGAAAAGACTATTGAAGCCAGAAAAAAAGTCAGAAGAATGGCGCTATATTAGGCAATCTTCTGTTATTGGTCTCAATTTTGTGTGAAAAATAGGCACATCAGATTAGAGGTTATATTTTTTCTGAGTGTTCAGAATAACTTAGTTATCACAAATATTTATCCTGGTATGTATCACTAAGCCATTATTGTGGTAACTTCATATTTTTAATTAAAATTTTTAATTTTTTAAAGCAAAGATTAATTTCCTTTCAGACATACATGAGCATTCACTATCCTGACTGTATATGGTGATTTCTTATAGAACATTTCATTACCTTATCATCTTAAAAAATGGTTTTATTTTTAAATAATGCTTTGCTACAAAGTTTGCTGATGATATATAACTTTTTAACTTAAACAGCTATGCAATTATCATGTGGGAAGTGTTATCAAGAAAACAGCCTTTTGAAGGTATGTATGCTCTTGATTTCCTTATCCCAGAATACATCCTGTTATTGGTGCACACTCAGAACTATCTAAAGCTCATCAGATTCTAAACATACCTGCCATTCATTTGGTACACAAACCACAGTGTAAAAACACAGCAGTTTGCCAGCATCTACTGCATACTACAAAGCATGGTAAATTAAGGATCAGTATGAAGAGGGTATTTGGCTTAAGGATCAGAAAAAAATCTAAATTCTGACTCTTTTGTAGTCAAGCCACAAAAATTTCCAGTCCTCATTTTTGTTCTTTGCAAAGTGAGATTTATTATCTTTTTTTTTTTCTTTTTTGAGACAGGGTCTCACTATGTAGCTCTGCTGTGTAGAATGTAGATCAGGATAGCCTTGAACTCACAGATCTGCCTGCTTCTGCCTTCCAAGTGCCAAGATTAAAGGCCTGTGCCATCACACTTGGCTTTATTACTATTTTCAAGACCCACGCTAGCTATAAAACTGTATGAAAATTTAACTATTATTCCTTCTATAGGTCCAACAAAGGTTGAAAAATAATCTTTGTCATTCCTAGGTTAATATTAGGACATTTTTAAGTTTGTGTTTAACTTGTTCTATAATGAATGTCCTCAACATTTCAATAGTTAGCAGATAACATTTATCTCTCATTCATATTAACTATTACTGCCGTCCCTTGTTGGCTGTGCTAGGCTCTGCTGAGCCCTGCCTGGCTCCGCTCTTCTCACATCCCATGAGAGGTGCACAGGTCTCACACTGGCTGGGAGATATGTCCTCTTACAGAAAGGGGCGTTATGACTTGGGCTCACATTTTACCATAGCCTCCTTTTTATTTGGTTAGCATCACATCTTTCCAGTTAATGAAATGTATTTGTTTTGACAGAGGTCACCAATCCTTTGCAGATCATGTATAGTGTGTCGCAGGGACATCGGCCTGACACCAGTGAGGAGAATTTGCCATTTGATATACCTCATCGAGGTCTCATGATCTCCCTGATACAAAGTGGGTGGGCACAAAACCCGGATGAAAGACCATCTTTCTTGAGTGAGTAAACAGTTTTAATCTGGGCCTTTGAATTATAGAAATTGTTCATATGCTATAAATATTCCTTGAAAAATTATCCTATCATGATACTGTTACGTAAATTATATTTTGCTCTTGTTATTTTTTGCATTCATATATAGATAATGGCTTCTAGAAAAGACTTCCTAACCAAAAAGTGAAGTTGTTTGGTAGGTGTAACACTCTGTTCACATTGTGCACACCTGCCTTGTGCTGTCTCCTCATGGGTGAGCACAGGAGCAGAGAATAAGCACAGCATCTCAGTTCAATCCTCTTCTAGAGAAAGAGTAAATAAATGAGACCTGATTGTGAAGTCAGTCCTGTAACAAAACAAGTGCAGGGATGCACTGAGGTGTGGGCTTTCAGGAGCTTGTGTTTGTGCTGCTGTTTGATGCTTGAAGCAGAGCCAGTCATGTACGGACTAAGGAGAGCAGTCCAGCAAAGAAAACATACAGAATAAAGATTCTGAGACCAGAAGAAGAAAAAAAGAGACAGCCATGTAGCTAGAGCATAGTGAACAAAGATAATGGTAAAGATGCCTTAAAGGACAAGGGAGTGGCTGCTTTTCACCCCCAGACCTTTATCCCAAGACAGTGAAAAGCCATTCACATGTCTTCTTCTGGAAGCAATGTGATCTAATTTAAGCTTCGGTCAAAACCACTCGTGACTGCTGTATGGGGAAGTAACTAGGGGAGGCCAGAGAAGAACAAAAAAGCAGTTAGGAAACTCCCTCAGTAATTGTCTAATTAAGGTGATAATTCTGGTCAGAGAAAAATTACTCAGAATTAAGATACATTTCAGAGAAAGAGCAGATGGGGCCTCTAAATAGAAACAGAAGAAAATCTTAAGACCTTGGTTAGGCAGAGTTCTTAGATTTGAATCCAAAGGATCTAAAAGTTTTCATAAATAAACTTGGAAATTGAACTTAAAAAACTTAGAACTTCATACTCTGAATTACCAGGCTGTGGAGCTGGCGCAGAGGAGAAAGTGCTTGCCATGCAGGCCTGAGGACCAGTTTGTATTCCTGCCACCCACATTATAGATCCCATGCGCCGTGCAGGTGTACAGCCTGCCTGTAATCCCAGCACTTGGGAGATGGAGATGGGGTCCCCAGAACAAGCTGACTAGCTAGACTAGACAAAATGGAGAGCTCTGGGTGCAAGTGAGAGACCCAGCCTCAGTATATAAAGTGAAGGGCAATCAAGGCCTTTGCAGTTACACAAACATACAAACATGCATACAGTATGTTCACATCACACATACGCACACTTGCAAAAATAAACTACTGAAACGACAGGATACAGGTGGTGGGGATATATTTTCATGTCATATACCTATTGAAAGGACTTGTGTCTGGAAATAAAAAGAATTTTGACTAATTCAATAACAAGACAAATAATAATTTCAAAAATTGTAGGATATTAGAATTTCATCAATCAAAGATAATATACAATTGGCTAAAAAGCATATGAAAGGGGATTCACATCACTAGGAAATATAAACACTGAGATACCAATCCAAGCCTATTGAGACAACTACAGTAAAAAAAAGACAGATAATAACTTTGGCCCCTAAAATAATGAAACCCTCCAATACTGCTGAGTGTGTATGCCTAATCATACAGGCATGATTCATGTAGCCAACAAGTAGAAGGAATTACAATTACTATTACTACTGTAATAGCACATAAATGTTTTTATCCAGGGAAGAATCTAGGATTTATGATATAAAATCAAGTGTCACCAACTCACAAGTAATCAAGATTAGGTCACCCTAGATAGAGAATTTAGCCTGACAGCAAAGAACAAAATATCCATATTAGACCTCCAAGGCATTTCTTAGAAATTGTACAAAGGAAAAAGAAAATAGATTGCAAGGAAAGAAATACACAGTGTGGTCTCTTACGTCTAGGAAGGAGCCAGCAGGAATGCTTCAAGGAGGAAGTGGTCAGTCATGTCTTCCTATAAGTCATGAAAGCAAGACTTCAGCTAGTGCAGTAGCAGAGGTTAAAGTAGGAGAACCTGTTGAACTCAAGAGTTTGAGGCCAACTTCAGGAATAAATGTTCAAGTCCTAATCTCAAAAAAAAAGAATGAAAGATTTTTCTCATACTGGTGTCATTGCTAACCCATACAAATGTAGCTTCTTTATTTGAAAGATTTTGTTTTTAATTTTGTGTTATGTGTGTATATGTGTGTATGTGGGTATGTACATGTGAGTACAGGTGCCTGCTGAGGCCAGAGGCATTACATCTCTCTGGAACTGGAGTTGCAGGTAGTTGTAAGCTGCTGGATATGGGTCCTAGGAACCAAACTTGGGTGCAAGAACAACAATATGTGCTCTTTTGGGTTTTTTTTTTTTTTTTTTTTGGAGGGTATGGGAGGGTCCCAAGACAGGGTTTCTCTGTGGCTTTGAAGGCTGTCCTGGAACTAGCTCTTGTAGACCAGGCTGGCCTCCAACTCACAAAAATCCGCCTACCTCTGCCTCCCTAGTGCTGGGATCAAAGGCATGCACCACCAACGCCGGGCCAGTATGTGCCCTTAACCAACTGAGCATCTCTGCAGCCCCCACATGCAGTGTCAATGGAGATGTGAGAACAGAAGACTGATGCTGATATCTATAAAGTTAATTAGAGGTGCAGACAAGGACAATTAATTTTACATGTATTATTTCTGTTCTTGTTTTCCCTCCCTTCTTCTTCCCTCCCTCTCTCTTTCCGTGTGTGTGTGTGTGTGTGTGTGTGTGTGTGTGTGTGTAAGAATAATCCATCAGTGATCACTGGGCAACTTTGAAGACTTGTTTCTTTCCTTCCACCATGGTGATGGGGGTCAAACTAAAGTCAGATTTGCACAGCCAGTACTTTTACCCACTGAGCTATCTTGCTGACCCAACCTGTAGAATTCTTAGTGCATCTCTCCTACCCTATTCTATGGCTTTGCTTTTCTTTTTTTCTTGAGTGACTTTTCTCTAGAGTACAGTTTTCAAAATTGTTTTTAGAAGTCCAGTTGTCAGGTTTTTATGAATCATATTTTTGATATTATATCTAAGAAATTTCCCTGACTCAGGTTTTGAACATTTTCTCCTGTTTATATTTAAGTGAATGATCCAATTTTGAGTTAATTTTTGTGTATGGTGTATGGTAAGGGTATAAATGACCTGTTTTTTTTTTTTTTGTGGCTATCTAAATTTCTTAGTATAGTTTATTTTAAAAGACTGTCTTTAAAAGACTGTCTTTGCCTTGTGGAACTTAAGGCCGTCCTTTGAAAATCAGTTTACCAAAATTGTAATGGTTCATTTTTAAGCTACTGACTCTGCTCTGTTGACTGTCATGTCTGTTTATGCCAGCAATAAGAATTCTTAAGGCAGTTGGATGTAATCACTTTAGTGAATGATTGGCATGATGGAGCCTTATGTTAACATTTCAGTGTAATTATTGGAAGTAATCTGAACTTAAAATTGTTGAGTTTTTGTTTTTGTTGTTTTGTTTTTTCTTATTTAGAATGCTTAATAGAACTTGAACCGGTTCTGAGAACATTTGAAGACATAACTTTTCTTGAAGCTGTTATTCAGCTAAAAAAAACAAAGGTAAATCTCCCTTTGACATTTTGTAACTTAGAATTGTAAACAGCTGTATGTTTGTTATTCATGAAGTTTTAATTTAGTTTGCCAGATCCAGGCTAGAGTTTGGAGGTGGGAGAATTTACAAGGGCCATGATTACTACCTTTTCTTTGTCGCTGATGGGTATTTCCATTTTATTTGAATGAGCCACCTTCAGATTTCACAATTTCAGAATTCTCGGCATGTCAAATGTGAATTTAGAATGAGTGCTGAGGGCCTGTGTACAGCAGCCCCCTGAGTCACTCACTGTAAGTACATGTGATATGTGCTAGTCTATATTTAGTTGTGCTAAGTGTTAGTACCTGCAGGAGATGACTTCTTGCTCTTCTTTAACTTACTTGACTTTTCCTGAAATTTATTGTCAGGTAAAACAGTAGCCTAGTTTATCTTATATTTGAGCCCCCAAGTTGTACTTCTTTGCTTGGTTTTATTATCTTTTCCCACTCAAATACTTCACGTTGTAGAGACTAAACTGTCAGAGACATTCATGTGAATAACCGAGGGCAATTGTGTGATCAATGTAGACCACATGGATCAGCACAGCTGAGGATTTACACAGCAGCTGTAGTTCCTTAGAGCACAGTCAGCATAGGCTAGCACTCACTAGGATTCATTAAGTTGCACTTCATATATGATAATAAAACTGCCAGCTAGCCAAACTCTTGGGCAATGAACAAGCATGATTTGCAGTTCCTTACTAACTTACAGTTAGCTTCCCCCTCCTGGTTTATGGGACCTACTAGCATAACTTTTCATTTAAAGATTAGTATGTAAAAAACAAAACAACCACCCATAATCAAACTTAAAGATGAATCATAATACTATTATATACAAGTTTTAAGAGGACCTAAAAATGAATTCTTTGAATTCTTTTCATAACTTCTCCAACTCCCCCATTTGGGGTTGGATACAGCCTTTTCCAGAGTTACCAATGTCCATACAAACTTCCAAGACTGTTTCCTTTTGTCTTGTCTTTTCTTTTCCTATTCTCTCCTTACAAGTTTCTCTTTTTCTCATCTCTTTCTAAGCAAAACTAGATGAGTAGGGACCTGGTGGTACCATCCTGTAATCTCATCTATTTGGATAGGCTAAGAGAGAAGGATTGCAGATTCAAGGTGTGTCTGGGCTACAGTGTGAGCTCAGAGCCAGCATGGGTAAGTTAGCTCTGAAACTGATCATGACTCCCCATCCATAGTAACACACCACCACCTTTACATTGTGCCAACCTTGGGTTCTTATCCATACAGTAAAAACAGTAATAGGACTTAGAGCATAGTGCTTGAAGTATACTTTTGCTTAATAGCAATTATGGATAGGTAGAAGATACAGCAAAATGAGGTACCTGCTTTTAACCAACAATCCTGTTTGTAGGTATTGCTTTAAAGATGAAGCTGCAAGACTCTTGAGAGATAATATTTACTGAAATCAACCAATTAATAGGAGGCAGGATGAAGTCTGTTCCCTAAGCATTTCTTGTTGTACACTGTCTCTACCCAATTAAGTTATATATTCACAAATGATTTAGATTGGTTTTCATTGAATTTTGTGTGAACAGAAAACATGTGAAGTAGATTGTACTTTACTTCTGTAATGTCTAAGTCACTTCCCATTAAAGCACATACATGTGTGTGTTCTCTCCAGATTCAGAGTGCATCCAGTACTATTCACTTATGTGATAAGAAAGTGGATTTATCAATGAACATACCTACAAGCCATCCTCCACAAGAGGTACAAATATACATATTATTTATGCTAAATTGAATGTGAGAAGAATATTAAAAAACCATGTAGTCTGACCCCATTTTCTACAGATGGGAAACGAAAGTCCAGGGAGCATTTATAATTTATTAGGTAGCCATGACAGTCTCTAACCTGAAACCCCACTCAGCGTTATCCTCAAATGCTCTAGGGTAGTGTACAGGTAAACCATTGGTGATAATGTCACCGCCTCATAGTAAGTAAGAGAAATTCCTGTTGCTCTCCCAGAGGTGTTTCTTTAATTGAACCATTTTAAGATTATATGTCCACTTCACAGATTCATGAACATACTAGTACATTCAAGACAGCATGAAAGCACAGCACATAGGAGGGTCTACATTTGTTTACTGTGTGTGTACGTGTGTGTATACGTGTGTGTTCAAAGGATAACTTGCAGGAATCATTCTCTCTGTTGCTATGTGGTTCCCAAGGATCCAATTGAGGTCATCCACTTGGCAGAAGCCCCTTTAGACTGAAGCACCTCACTGGCCCAATGCATCCCAAGTTTCAGATCACTTTTATATAAACTATCTAAATTGATCCTTGAGTATATGCTAATTTTTTATGGAACCTGGAAGCCAGAGTGTTTCAATGCATTGTTGAAAGGCAGTAAGCTAGTCCATGACAGAGCAAGGAGTGAAGATCTCCATGGTTTTTCCAAGGGTTTTCCATCCCTTTGTGTTGAAAGAACCAGAGAACAAGTATTTGCTTTAAGTCAGGAGATAACCACACATCTAATTCACCATTATAGCCACTGAACAGGTCCTTGAATCGGGTAGGGTCAATAGTTATTTCGAGTGCATACTATTGCCGTAGCCCTTCCCCTCGAGTTGATAAAGAAATTAAATTTATGTTCTACTCCCCCATCCCCTCACCTTTACTGTCCCCCACCCCCAGTTTATGCTGGCCCTCTGCATGAGGGTGACAGTTTTGTAACCTGGTCTGTTTGTGGGACCCCTGGCAGTGGGATGTATCCCTAGTACATGAGCTGGCTTTTTCAAGCCCATTCCATATGGTGGGATGCCTTGCTCAGCCTGGATGCTGGGGATATGGCGGGGGGGGCTTTGTTGACTCCCCATGCCTTACCCTTTCTGAGGGGGAGGACTGAGGGAACTGTGGATGGTATGTAAAATGAATAAAAATAAAATGTATTTTTTTAAAAGAAATTAAATTTAGAGGTTGGGGATATAGCTCAGTGGTAGAGCACTCAGTTAGCATTTGTGAGACCCTAGCTTTAGTCCCTAGTATAGATGGAGGCAAAAAAGAAATTGCATGCATTTGTGATTGCTTTCCATCTTACTTCTTTGGCTCTGTAAACTATAATTTATAGTAGTTCCAGGTCTTGGTTTTTAATAAGGCAAAGGCAAGTACAGTTTAGAAGCTGTAGCTATGTAACTTTAAGGATGATACCTTCCTATAAACTTCTACTTATACAGCTCTCCTCAACCTGGTCCTCTGTTTACTTCAGGAATCATGTGGCTCCTCTCTGCTATCCAGAAATACCGGTTCTCCTGGAACCTCCAGGTCCCTGTCAGCTCCTCAAGACAAAGATTTTTTATCTGGTATGCCAGTTTCCTAATCAGAATGGTTACACAACTTTTCTACTTTCTTTCAAGGTCATGTCATTGGCAAACAGTGGTGTGCATGGAACACGTTTTTTCATTTGCATTCGTGTTCCACTTTTTTTTTTTAAGTAACAATTCTATATATGTGAAAGTAACGATGGAATAATGAGCAAATACATTTATATTGAAGTAATTCTGTGATCATGATGGAAAGGGGTTTTTTCTTAATCTCACAAGAAGAAAGTGTAATGTTTCTAAGTTGCCATAGTAACTATATTTTAGCTACAGGGAACAAGACACAACCAAGGACTTTTATAGCTGTGTGAGGGAGCTAGTTAGTCCCTGTTTTACAGATTCTGAACTCTCTGGATCACACAGCAAGTAACTAGGGGATCCAAGATTTATTGATTAAAGCCAGGCTCTCTAATGAACACTTTCATATCACTCTGCCATACAAAGTCAACATGAAGACTTTACTTCTGGCTAGATGCTGACGTCTAGTTACAACAGATAGACAGTCCATGAAAAAGAAGATTATGAGTCTAGAACAAGGAAACAAATAACAGTGAGCAATTTATTATGTCGGTAAATAGAGTGAATAAGAAGAGTTAAAAAAAAAAAAAGGAGGAAAGGAGGATCACAGTCATATCAAGAATGCCTAGGGCCTAGAGAGATGGCTCAGTGGTAAAGAGCACTTACTGCTCTTCCAGAGGACCTAGATTTGATTCCCAGCACCCACACAGTGTCTCAGAACTGTCACAACTCCAGTTCCAGAGGATCTGCTACCCTATTCTGACCTCCGTAAGCACCAAGCATGCACAGTGCTCAGATGTATATTCCAAACAAAACACTTATGCAGCTTTGTTTTTTTGTTTGTTTTTTAAGAAAAAGAATTTCTGCACTCAGCTAAGCTAATTCAGGCTTTTAAACTCAGTAGGACTTGATTCTTGAAGAAGGGTATAAAATAAGAATTTTTGCTCCTCCAGTCTGGAATATATCCGATATTTTGAAATTTATTTGTATTTATTGTTTGTGTGTGTGTGTGAGGTGGCAGGGCAGCACACAGAGCCACACATGCCACATGCACATGTAGAGGTCAGAAGATAGCTTTTGGGAGTTAGTTATCTCCTTCCACTGTGGACTCTGGGAATCAAATTCAGGTGTAGCATGTGCTCTGACCCACTGAGCCATTATGCTGGCCCTTAGAGGCTACTTGGGAAAGGAAAGAAAACTTGGAGTAAAAAGGACAGTGAGGAGTGAAAGAGAGAAGGGCAGTGTGAGAGATTAGGTAATACACAGATGCTTTGACTTCTCACTTGAGCTAAGAGAGAATAGATGAAGCTGTGTAAGTTGTTGAGCCAGGAAACCACCACCCCCGCCACAACCAAGAACTGAAGTGGTGGTTAGGGTTAAGATGGATGATAGTTACGATTTTAATTTTTTTTATTTTTTGTTTGTCTGAGATACCATCAGTGCCTATCGGGGTGATGTACAGAGTGTTGAAGAGGCAGTGTGTTCAATAATGATGGAAAGACAATTACAGAAATTACTTGAAAGGATATAGTGGGAAATTACCAAAACCGAGTCAGGTAGAAATATAAGGGTATTTAATAGGGAAAAGCCTTACTTACAGAGCGACCTAAGTAGGCGTGGCTACAGCTTCCCCTACAATAGGAGAGATAAACAGTTGGAGCACTGGAATTGTTTTCTAGAGGACAAAGAAAACATGTCAAATACAGATTTATTGCACTTAAAAGTTTATGTATCCGGGGGTGGGCTTAGACCCTATCCCAAAGGATATGATAGACTCTGATAACACCATCCAGGGGAGCAGAAAGGAATTGTGATAGGTAGGGTTTTAGTGGGGGGGTAGGGGAGGAGAGGACTGGGATTGTTATGTAAAACAATCTTGTTTCTAATTCAAATTAAAAAAATCTGAAAGAAAAAAGTAAAGAATGTCTATGGATCTGACAAACATACATAAGACACATTTAAACTGGAAAGGGAGGAGTTCACCGGGAAGAAGTAATGGGTTATGAGAAGAAAGGAAATTTTATGACTTATAAGCATAGAACAACAAGCACTAACAGTGGTAAAAAATAAAATAAAATAAAATAAAGCAATAAAAAAAACAACTATTCTGTGTAAATGCTTGTTCGACAAAAAAGTGTTTGCAGAGCTGGCGAGATGACTATGGGCAGAGTGATTTTAGCCAGGCCTACAACCTGAGCTTGATCATCAGGACTCATGTGGTAGAAAAGAAAGTTAATTTCTCTGACCCCATGCATACACACACACACACACACACACACACACACACACACACACACACACACATAAATGTAATTCAAAATACTTAACTTATTTGCAGAATTGAATTTCTGAAGTAGTTTCAATGACAGTGAGAAACCAAGGCCATTGGAGCCTACCTTCTGTGTGAGCCACCCATTGATATTTTACTGATAGGACTATCTAGTGAATACTCTACCTACCCCTAATGAAATGTTCTGTAGGAGGACCTCAAGATGGCTCTTCATCGAAGCTGCATCACTGTTCTGGAAATCACAGCTGGGATGGTGCCCTTTCCGAATCACACAGGACAGCCCTCTGTGATCACAGACCCACCCTGTGCTCTTTGGCTATAATAAATCCACTCTTCGTTTCGAAAAGTTCAGGTAAGTATATGCTGTGAGATATACTGCAAATGCTGGTATTCACCTTACACGAACACACTGAGTAAATTCACCATATAATGAGCTTTCTTAGTTTCCATTCCCTACCCTAGAAACATTTAAGTAGGAAAGCATTTCCAACTTCGTGCTGCCCTTGTCTTAACAGGGCCAGGTGCACTCCAGGAATCTAACTAGGAAGGAAGTATTAAGATGAAGCCTCACTTGCTACCTTAGTAAAGGTGAAGCTATTTTTGTTTATCAACTATGCTTGTATCCTTTATGTTTGAAAGGAAACAAAAAGTAAAATCATTTTGCCCCACAACAGCATATAAAAAAATACAGTATTTGCTCAGTAAGGTGAATGGGAGATAAAACTCAAGCCTCTGAATACTTCCTGAAAAATATAAGCATTTTCAAAAAATACTGTTTATACTGGCACCCTCATGTGGAAATGTCCGTTCTGCTTATTCATTTTTACAAAGAATTATACTCATTGCTTGTGTCTGTACTCGTCATCATTGTAAATTGTTCATGCTTGCTCTTTCAAAGAGCGCCTGCAACCTGGAATAGCCCAGCAGTGGATCCAGAGCAAGAGAGAGGACATTGTGAGCCAGATGACTGAAGCCTGCCTTAACCAATCGCTGGATGCCCTTCTGTCCCGGGACTTGATCATGAAGGAGGACTATGAACTCATTAGCACCAAACCAACAAGGACCTCAAAAGTCAGACAGTTACTAGACACCACTGACATCCAAGGAGAAGAATTTGCCAAAGTTATAGTACAGAAGTTGAAAGATAACAAGCAAATGGGACTTCAGCCTTACCCGGAAATGCCTGTGGTTTCCAGAACACCATCTTCAAATTTCCATCAAAATAAAAGCTTATAAGTGAGTCTTTTCTGAGAGGAAAGTCAGTTTACAAATGGTTATTTATATGTCTGTTACCTGGATAATATTTGTATAAAAACATGAGTATTAGTTGCTTCCCTGAAGGTTTTTTGGATGAGATAAGTATGTCTCCTTCCATGGCATTGCAGTATTTTTTTTTAAATTAATATAAGTAAAACTTTTGCATTATGCTGTGTAGTTCAGTTTTTTATGTCAGTTTCATTACTTGAACCTTTTTATGTAATAATTACATTTTTCTTGAATATACCAGTGCCTTAAGGTAGCCTTTGTTTCTGATGGAAGACATTTCCAAACTCACTTTATCTGCGGAGCTTCATTATTCCTCTAAAATGAAATTTGACATTACATAGCAGTGATACAGTAGTCCCACCCTGAAATTCCGAGTTCAGATCCCCAGTGAGTTACTCATTTTTAAATTTTATTCACAAACTGTTAGGAGGTTATTTCCAGGTGCACAAGGTGTATAAAGAAGAAAAGAGCAATCTCTTGTTAACACTGGCCGTCTATCCACCTCTCCTCTTTGAGCAGAGTGAACAACCACTGTGCCCCTGATGGCCTGCTTCCTGCTCCTGTCTAGAACATATGCTGACTGGGTAGAGGCCCTTCCTTACTTAGAGTGGCTGGTTTCTCTGTAACTCAGCATGGTTTCCGTACTGAGGCGTGCTGCAGGTTCAGCTTCCTCCTCATCGTGCACATCTGGTCAGTTAGCACACAGTAGCCAAGCTGCTCTATTTTTTTTTTTTTTCTAAGCTGTTCACACCAACTTCACTACAAACAATAAAGATACAATGCAATGTGAGTCCCTTTTCTTTTGGCTGCTAGCTTATGTCACTCAAGGAAACCTACAAGAAGTGATACCTTTTTCTGAAAACGGTTTAACAATGTTTGCAAAAAAATAAGAAACAGCATAAATTTGAAAGCATATACTTTCGGGATGCACTAGACTTAGAACCTGAAAAATATGAATAAAGAATAAAAGGATTTAGATGGCATTTAGGCAATGAAATATCCCCATTTAAAATAAGAATTTAAGCACCAGGGTTGGACAGATGACTCAGCACTGGCTGCTCTTGAATAGGACAAAGGTTTGGTTCCCAGTACCCATACAACAGCTCACAAACATCAGTAATTCCAATTCGGGTATCTAACTCTCTTCTGGCATCTACAGGCACCAGGCACATACACAGTGCACTTACATGCAGGCAAAACTCATACACATAAAAGGAAAAAAAATTTAAACAATTTAAATTCCATTTTAAAATGGCATTAACCCATGGTATAACTTTTTTGAGACTTTCAGAAACACATAAATTTATAAGGAAAAATAAAAATTAATTGGACTTATGAGTTGTCTGTTAAATTCTTTTTAAAATATTAAAATAAAAACTTAGGTATGATGGCACACACCTGGTATCCTAAAACTTTGGAAATTGAAAGAGACAGAGGAGTTCAGAGACAACCTCAACTTCCTAACAATTGCAAAGCCAGCCTGGATTGTCAGAAATAAACAATAACAAAAAGATTTAATTTGGGGGAAAATGAGTAGGTTTTTTGTTTTGTTTTAAAATTGGTTTTGCTCTCCAGCACCCCCATTTCCCTCTCCTGTGTGTGTGTACTTAAAGTTACCTTTTAGAAATAGTGATGCCCTCAGCTATGGCACACGCCTTTAATCCCAGCACTCGGGAGGCACAGGCAGGCGGATCTTGGTGAGTTCCAGGACAGCCAAGGCTACACAAAGAAACCCTGTCTCAGAAAAAAGAATACTGATGTCCTCAATGGACTTTTGTACTGATATATGTAGAAAAGTTGAACTTTGCCTTAGTCTCACCATTTGCTACAGTCTATAATTCATAGTGCGTTTGTGAGCCCTTGTCTGTAGGTACATGTTTACCACCCACCCATTTTTCTCCAGTGATTTACTGTAAGGAAGGTATCTGTAATGTCACCCTTTGTCACAGTCTTACAAACTGCATGAACACACATACTGACCAGTAAGACAGTGGTGTCAAGGATCAAGATGGATCTGCCATGAGCTCCTCCTTTCATAGAATCCTCATTTCAGCAGATGATTTTCACTGTGACCTGAACTTGATCTTTGCCTGTCTGTGTTTTGAGGGGAGGGGCAATGCTGCTGAATATAACTAGTCAGCATAGAACAAAGCCTGGTGTAAAGCAGGCACTTTTTAAATAACTAATGAATGGTGAAGGGGACAAGATGCTCCCTGTAAGTCCTACTTCCCAAAATGTATGCAAATACAGATAATGGTAAGTACAGTTTTTTCCAAAGTCAACAGATTCAAAACTTTGTCTCATTTGAGCCACATAGTAAGGTTTTTGTCCTGTTGGTTTTTAACTTTCTTGTTAAGTAAAGGAGGATGGCTTACTTCTGTGTCAATTCTCTGTGCTCTTAATTTTAATCAACCTCACTAAAGATGAATAGAATTTGAGGCCAGAACTTCACAAACAATATTCAGCAAGAGTTTTATAATTATTTGTAACTTTTATCTTGAAAAAAAGAATTTCTATACAGAAGGAATGGTACTGTTTTTCTCTATGATATAATAATAAAGGTTTATAATATCCAAACAAAATGACAGTATAAAGCATTAAGTAAATTATAATAAAGACAGTTCTAGAACATCTGAAATCTCATAAGGAAATGTTAGGATTCAGTCACTTTAGGGCAGCAGTGATGGTCTCTCTAACTAGATAGTGTTAGATAGGGGTGGTGTCTTGGTGGTGCTTTTTATACTCTGCTACCTACAAATACAGTCCAGGGGTAGCATCACATGGGTTATAAGAAACATGAGTTCATGGCCTCTGTGTGTGGAGCTTGAGGTCCAGAAATCAGTTTTAACAAACCTTGTAAGCAGTTCTTATGGCTAACATTCAAGGCTCTTGTTTGTATGGAACAAGATATAAAAAAATTTCTCCTTAGGCACACAGATCTCTTCATGACATCTTTTGACCACATTTGTCTTGAGAATGTATAGTCTCTGAACTAAGATTTTGATGGAAAAATTTAACTAATGCACCCACTTTACATCCCCATTGGGCATGTTGCAGTTTGGAAAGATCACTTAAACACAGCATCCAGACAATATTCATTTCCATGACTCACCTCTTTAAGAAAGAGCTGCAAAAGGGACAAACACTTCAGTCCTGAAAGTAAAGGAACCATGTTGATGTGCAGGAAGAGCATAAGGGAGGTTTTGTCTGTGTTTGTTTGATGGAAGTAAAGCTTTTTTATTTACATATTTTTATTCTCTGAGCATTTCACACATACACAATGAAATACCATCACTTAGTCTCCATTTCCCCTCTCTTGTTCCCACCATAACCCCCAACACCCTGTCTGCTAGCCTCTTGTCTTATTTTTTGTTTCCCACTAAGCATGATTAGTGCAACCCATGGTGTGTAGGTGTGGACTTAGTGGGAAACAACATTGGTGTTGTTTCCAACACTGGCTGCGTCCTCCAAGAAATATTCTCCCTCTGGCTGATTTTCATTTTTCTTCATCAGTCTAAACTCCAGCAGCATGCTCATGAAATACTGCATTCTCTAGTTTATTTTTCTTCATTAATCTAAACACCAACAGCATGCTTATGATATACTACATTTTCTAATTTATGAAGAAAAGTTATGACCGATGGAAAAGGAGGAGAATGAATAATATTTTATGTTGACAAACATCTCTCAATTTTCAGAATATCCTATCATCTCTATAATGTTATTCCTTCTGTATACCATAGAGACCAGTTCCCAAATTATCTTACTTTTCCCTCCCTCAGTTAAATTATTTCTTTTTCATCTCAAGCACCCATATTCCTTATGATAGCCAAATTCCTTCACTTGGCTGTGTATGTCTATTGATCTCTTTCCTGAAAAATAACTCTAACAAGCTTTCTAAATTGTTTAAAGTTCAAAGAGCCTTGTTACTTAAAATTTAATGTCATGTAGTTAATGAATGGATTAAAATGAACAGCCAGGGCATTTTTTCTGTACTCTTACTCCACAAACAACTCTAGAACTAGGTTATTTTAAACCATTACAATTTATTCCATTGTGTAGAAGCACCAATATTTAACATATTTCCTGTTAATGGGTATTCTAATTTTTACAACTTTCTGCTATTAGAAATGATACTGTCCTTCCTCTGTAGACCACAGCCAAATTCATCTATAACTTTACAGAGAAGGTCCCAGCACTGGTAAATGCTGCTATGACTTACTTAAAGCCTGGATTGGCCACATTTTGACAAGTGCCAAGGTTGACCTGGTTCCCCCAACCCCTGCTTAGTTCACTCCAGCTATTCAGAATATGAAAAGAAAAAATTCAAAGTGCTAAAACTGGCAGCTTCAAACCCTTGCATTTAAAGAAGCTATGCTGAATGGCTTGGTAGCCATATGGTTTTACATTGGAGAGATCATAGACAAATGAGGCATCACTGGCTATGATGTTTAAAAACCAATCTTTAACACCTGATTTTATTTGAGTTCTTATTTAAATGTTCTTGGACCACGTGGAATAAGACTGCTATCTGAATAAAATATAAGCTGTCAAAAAACAACCAAATGAGAAAACAAAACAGTACTACCCCAAATGGAGCCCAGCCCTAAAAATGTCACTTATACCTACCCTCTAAGGCCCAGGAAACATCACAGCACAGGAGGCAGGAAATATGTAAGAACTAGACTATAGGTAAAAGGCTACAAAACATCATTCCCTAGACTGGGTGTAACCACTACAATTAGTAACATGAATTATAGTTACCTGAGCTGGGCCCCACAATCAGCTCTATCAACAATTAGTAAAGGAATGTGGAGAGTTTGTGAGGCTCTACCCTTCCCCTCTGAACTACTGGCTATCAATAAATTCTGGGAAGTGAGAGTCACTGTCTTTAGTTGCATACCCACTGCTGAGCCTACTAGGCTCTACTAGGTTTGGACAGCTCCAAACCCACAGTCACATAGATGGCTTTGATTGATCTTGATGGGTTACAAAATAAAATGAACAGGCATAAATACGAAAAAGAGATCTGTGAACATGAGGGAAGGTTAACAGAGGTGTTAGGGAGGTGGGAGATCTATGTGAGGGAGGTCAGTATGCATATATGAAATTTCTAGAAATAAAATTTATCTTAAAAAACTAATACCAATAAAAAGATGACTAGACACTGGAAAACTTTAAATATTAGAAAGCATGTCTAGAATCTGAACTTCTTGGGTCCAAGAGTAAGAACATCTTAAATGTCAGTGAATTTTTTTTAGCCTTTAACTCAGCATTTTATTTATTTTTTATTTTTTTATTACTTCAAATTAGGAACAAGGTTGCTTCACATGTCAATCCCTTCTCCCTCTC